CCCCCCCCCCCACGATAACACATGGCCATATCACAGTCAACAAACCTGCTTCTGGTTCTCAGCCCAGTGTCAGGTGGAAGCGATGCATGCTCACCTCATCACATAATAGGCCTTCCAGTCCATATGCATGTCAGCTTGTTTCCTCTTCAGAAGAGTCACCTCCAATGCAGAAACATTATCAGGGCCACTGTTGAAACATGGTACCAAGTGGCATGAGCAGATGACTGAGGATGGGTCCACAAAGCCATATGCATCCTCATTGTCTCCAGACACCCAGCTCACTCAATCCAGTGGCTGAAAACGCTGAGAGCCAGTTGAGTTGGTGTCCTCTCATGCTAGCCACCTGACCAAGAGAACATCATGCCATTGAGGTGTACAAATGTTGGTGGGTCAGTGCATCAAGTTGACATGAAAGATGTGTATCACTCGGGCATACCAGTAAGGATGGGAGTCCATGGAATCATCCCCAGAGGGAAGCATGATATTGCACTGCCCCTTGCCAACATGGATGGTATCTTGAGCATGCTGCACATCATATGTGGTATAGTTGATGTGGCACACTGTATGTATTTGGTTTTGCAAGATCAACAATTCCACCCTTTTCTCCATCAAAAAGTCTTCTATGGGACTGTCATGAGCCTTCCCAGAGATTTGCAACAAAAGATAGTTCTTGAGACACTGGGAGAACTGCTGTGTGAAGATGAGCAATGGCAATATCATGCAAAGTGTCAGGTGAACCTCACCTGATGTGACCAATCATTGGGATCTTCCAGCTCCCATCCACTGATAAGAGACCAGGCATGGCTCATAGATGCCATATGATAGCTTGTTGCAGGGTCTCCCATCCCAACTAGATTCTCTTTGGAAGGAGCCTCCATTTGCAGCTGTTCTGCACTCATGTACTGGGCTGTGTGCTCCATCTTCCCAATGTGGCACTCCACTTTGGAGACCTTCTCCACATAGTCAATCTTGCTGGCCCTTCTGTAGTACTCTTTGACCTGCTGATGAGATAGTTTGCCCTGATACAATTCAGCATCACAGGTCACTTGACACAAGGAAAGGGCCTTACCAGTTCCATGGAGAAATTGTCCATTGTACCCAGTCTTTTGATACAGGCAGTATAGTCACCCATAAAGTGCCATTTTGGAGTCCGCAGACTGAAAGCAGTGGGGACACTGGCTGCTTAACCAGGAGCCCAAAGGGCACCTGATGCACTAGCCTGAAGGGACTCTTTGTCGCAAGATTGTTGGAACATGTGTTTCCACATGCTCTTCAAAGTGGTTTCCTCAATGGTAACATTGGCATCACAACTGGTGTCATTGGGAGTGGGCATGAAGTTTCCCATTGGAATCTCTGCATTACATCACCCAACCGGGTGGTCACCTCATCTAGTAACTCCAGAGTATCTGTACCATGAATTCACATCTTTCTGAGGCAGTGAAAGAGGGCCAGAGTGTACAGCACAGAAATAATTAGCCAATTGTCTGGTTCAGGAAAGAGCCCCTCAAAGGCTGGAATGGCACACTATAGAGGAGTGTCAGGTGCAATGTTGTGTCAGATGAGATCTGGTGTACCTACAAGAGGTCCTCATAATCTCTGGTGGCTAGCCGGGATAACTTGGAAACCCCGTGAGAGTCAAATGGACGGATTGTGCCCCTTCCAAAGCTCAGCATGTGGTGGAAGCAGTAGTCAAGTAAGAGAATGGGGCCTGACCCAAGGGTGTGCAGGAGCTGAATAAGGTGCTCCAACAATGATTTCCTGACACCAAGCTCAATCTCATGCATAAGATCAATGGAAAGCATATTGTACATGTTGAATCCATGTGGTTGGAGGATGCTGAAGGCATTCTGTGGTTATACATGATGAGAGGGCAGCATGTGTCAGGTGGAATCGTGTATACTGGAACTGGGATATAGGACTGATGTTCTCAACCCTGGTGGAAGCAACACCATGTCCATCCTTTTATATAGCATTGTATGCTGACAGTACATATTGGTGAGCTGTAGAGTCCACTTGCTGATGGGTAGTCCAGAAGAGGTGGTCTGACTCTGAGCCCATTTGGTACACTTCATTTTTTCCCATTGTACATCATGTACAAGGCATCTCTCCCAGAGTATGGATGGTGGCAATTAGCATTCTGTGGATTTTGAGTGAGGCTGAGCATGGACTGTGGCACCTGACACACACTTTTCTGGGTAGTCAGCACAGTTTGCAAATATCTGAAACTATACACAGTGCTGATGCCCATCAGCACACAGCATGGGTATTCCATGCTGGTATGCTTCAACAAATTCACGATTCAGAAGGGTTCTCCAAGCTGCATTCATGATCATGCCCTTCATGTGGGAAAGCAAACGAGCATTGGGGGCATGGCCACTTCTTGCATAGAATTCTTCACTGAACTGATGAGGAAGCTGAGCATGTATGTCAGCTGTAGGTACCAGCCCCCAGACCCAGAGAGCTCATGGTAGGAAAATGGGCAAAGTGATGGCAGGCACCTGACATAGGACTACAATGTTTGTGCACTGACTGATTCACAAACATGGCATAGCTGGGCCACAAGTGAGAATGGCCAAACTGAGTAGCTTGAGTCGCATCTGACCAGAAGCAAAACCCCAGTATGGCCTAAGGTAAGGCGCAATTGGGCTCAACAGGGGTGTGAAGGAGGTGCTGATATTCATTCAACATGTAGTCTCTGGTAAAACCCTCATCAACCAGGCACCAGGGTTTGGAAGGAGAGGCCTTTGATTGTTGCCAGAGCTCGAAAGGCTCCCAATGAAAGCCACCAGATTGATGGTCATTTGTAATCACATCTTTGGCAAGTTGTGTCAGGTCACAATATCAGAACCTGCTTAGGACATAATCCCAATTCCCCAAAGCCCCTCCCAGGGGCACCAAAAGGCAGAGTGGCTTGCTTTTCCAATCTGGGCCATAATGGACAGGACCATAGGAGGCAGGCAGCGCATCAAGTCTGTTGAAGCAGGCACACCACTTGACATGTGCAAGCTTGGTACCATCAAAACCAGGCACTCAGAACAGTGAAGATAATCACTCAAGGTCAGCCAATGACTTTAATTGACCATTGAACCAGTGATGAGCAACCAAAAAGGCCTTGCAGTTGGGCCAAGGTGTTAGGGCAACACAGGCTGACTAAGTCTGCTCACCTAAGAGTGCCAAGAGTCTAAGCAGGCAACAAGGAAGTGGAGTAGACCTGATGACTAAGACCTATCTACAGTATAGGTA